CTAATCTCCAGAGTTCCATTATTGTGAAAAGGAAAGTTCATTTCACTCACTTTCACTAGCATTTTAATTACTTATACATTAGGTAATTAGTTTATATAATTAGCTAGATAACTAAATTTCTACAAACTTTAGTTGATTTATTTTACTAGATAACTTTTAATTCACTATTAAAAAATACCGTATATATAACGCTCCATATTTAACGGTTACAAGAAAAAACATTGAATAAAAAAAGGCAGGATTTTGAAAAACTAATATTCAGCGGTTAAAAAATTAACCGTTGAATATACATTTATATATTCAATGGTTAAATATAAAAAATGTTGAATAAAAAAGGCGGGATTTTGAAAAACTAATATTCAGCAGTTAAAAAATTAACCGTTGAATATACATTTATATATTCAACGGTTAAATATAAAAACTGTTGAATAAAATCCTTAAAATATTGCCTGGTGACATCACCATATTATTCAACGGTTCAGGAAAAGTAACCATTGAATAAAGTGTCAGAATATTCAACGGTTAAGATAAAAAATCATTGAATAAACGTTTTCGAAACCGCCTTATGACGTCATCTTATTATTCAACGGTTCCTTAACTAGAACCGTTGAATAAACATTTATAATATTTAACGGTTTACCTAAGGAACTGTTGAATAAACATTTATTCAACGATTGTTCAATATAACCGTTGAATAAGTTCATTTAAATCGCCTCTTCATTCTCCCGAAACCGTTACTTTCAGATGCTCAAAACTTTATTTCTCCTCTACAAAACTAGATACCCACTATCGAGTCTCCTTCCCCAAGCACCGAGTCCACATTTTCGGCCAAACCCTTCCATATTCTGCCGTTGGAACACCGTCGCAAGGCTTCATTGCCATTTTCGTCTTCCATCTTGTGGTGTGCGAACACGTAAGTGCTCTGCTTTGCTCCTCTTCCTCTCTCTCTTCCTAACTTCATCTTCCTCTTCCATTCCAGTTGCTTTGGTTCGTGATTCATCTCCATTCAATTGTGGTTACGTGCGTGGGTCGGCAAAACAAAAAAAGGTTAGTTTTTTTAAGAAATTGTATAAAATTTGAGTATTTTATTTGAACATTATAATTATTTACAATGGGGATGATTTCATATACAATGTGCTTGAATTTTGGTTAAATGAAAATGCTCTATGTCTGTTACCAATTGTTAAATGTGATTGATTGAGTGAATTTTAATATGAATTTGTTGTTATTTTAATGTTCAATTTGTTAAAAAAGGGCAGGAAGCCTAGGAAATGCTTAGTTTTATGCCGTTATGCTGCCACATTTTTTAAAAAATTTTAGTCTTGTAAACATGACCATTGTTAATTATGGTCTGGAGGGAGTTTAGTTATACTTCTATCTTGTTTCTTGAATTAGTTTAAAATTTTATAGGTTAAAATAGTGTAAAGAAAGGGCATAATACTTGAGAAATACTTATTTAAAATTGTTAGGCTGCTAATTTTTTTTAATTTAAATTTTTCTCTTGAAAAGAACAAATACAAGCATAGTTGAAGTTGTTGAAGTGATTAAACTTGTGATTCACTGAATGCTTTTCTAATTTTACCATCTTTGTTAAATAAGGGCATTATGGATAAGGAGTGGATGTCTGCCAATCGCTTATCTAAAGAATATTGGGATGGGGTGGCAGAATTTATTAAGTTTGCGGTAAACAACGTAAAAAATCATGAGCGAATTGTTTGTCCTTGTTTAAGTTGTGGCAATGTGAAGTCAATTTCTCCTGAGACATGCAAACTTTACTTGTTTAAGTATGGAATTGATTAAAGTTACAAGTGTTGGGTAAAGCATGGGGAGACACCTGAAGATGTGAATAACAGCAGCCGAGGGTATATAGAAAGTTGTTCATCACCATCATCTTTTGACACATATGTAAATGAGGCCGATTGTCTTGAAGAATTGGTTGATGTGATGGAAGAGGAACTTGAGAATTTTCCAAAGAAGTTTGAAAAGTTAAAAACTGATGCGAAGACACCTTTGTATGAGGGTTGTACTGAGTTCACTTTATTGTCCGCTGTGTTAGAATTATACAACTTGAAAGCAATAAGTGGGTGGAGTGATACAAGTTTTTCAAGCTTGCTCTCTCTAATCAAACTAATGCTACCGAAGAATAATAAGCTTCCAGATCGGCTATATGATGCAAAGAAGGTGTTACGCATAGTTGGCCTAAGCTATAAGAAGATACATGCTTGCCCTAATGATTGCATTTTGTTTAGGAATGAATATGAAGAGCTAACCCACTGTCCTAAGTGTGAGACATCATGTTATAAGCAAAATGGGAAGAGTGCGAAGAAGGCAATGTGGTATTTTCCTATTATTCCAAGATTTAGGCGTTTGTATAGCATACGTCAAGAGGCAAAGAATTTAACATGGCATGCAGATGGAAGGATTAAAAATGATAAGATTCGGCATCCAGCTGATTCTCCTGAATGGATAAGGTTTGATTGGAAGTACCCTGAGTTCCGAAAAGAAGATAGGAACCTACGCCTCGCATTATCTACTGATGGGATGAACCCACATGGTATGCAGAGCAGTACCTATAGTACATGGCCTGTGATGATGGTCATTTATAACCTTCCTCCCTGGCTTTGCATGAAGCGAAAGTATATGATGCTATCCTTACTAATATTGGGGCCCAAGCAACCCAAAAATGACATAAATGTTTACTTAGAACCATTGATTGAAGACTTGAAGCTGTTGTGGGAGATAGATGTAGAGGTATATGATGCTTACAAAGAAGAGGTATTCAATTTGAAAGCCATGCTTTTTGGTACAATCAATGACTTTCCAGCATATGGTAATCTATCAGGGTACAGTATTAAAGGACAACTTGGATGTCCCATTTGTGAAGAGGGAACACGTTCAATGAGATTGTAACATGGTATGAAGAACGTGTACCTTGGACATCATAGATGGTTGGGTGACAAACATTGATATCGTCGGTGGAAAATGTCTTTTGATGGAAAAATAGAAGAAGAAAGGCCACCAAAGCAGTTGACTGGTGAGGAATTATTTGAAAAGGTAAAAGACCTTGATATTGAATTTGGCAAACTATTTGCAAAGCATGTTGGAACAAGTGGGTGGAAGAAAAGATCAATTTTTTTTGAGTTGCCATATTGGAAGACCTTGAATGTGCGACACTTCCTCGATTTGATGCATATTGAGAAAAATGTGTGTGATAGTCTTGTTGGGACGATGCTTCATATTCCAGGAAAGACGAAGGATGGCATCAATGCAAGGTTAGACATGGTTGAAATGGGTATAAGAGAAGAATTGGCACCGCAAGAGAAGGGAACTCGCACATTTCTTCAAGCAGCAGCTCACACACTGTCTAGAAAAGAAAAGTTTATGTGAGTTTCTTGCTACAATCAAGGTTCCAGATGGCTACTCTTCAATGTTAGAAACCTTGTCTCAATGAAGGACCTAAAGTTAAAAGGTTTAAAGACTCATGATTGCCATGTTTTAATGGAGAATTTTATTCCGATTGCTATACATGGTATTTTACCCGATAATGTGCGAGGTACAATCACAAAGCTATGTTACTTCTTTAGGTGCCTCTGTAGTAAAGTAATTAATCCTAAAAAGCTGCTAAAATTGTAAAGCCGAATTGTGCAAACATTATGTGAGTTGGAGATGTTTTTTTCCTCCTGCATTTTTTGATATCATGGTCCACTTAACCATTCACTTAGTTAGGGAGGTACAATTATGCGGCCCTGCTTATTTGAGGTGGATGTACCCTTTTGCGCGTAATATGAAAGTATTAAAAGGATATGTGAAAAGTCAGAGTCAACCAGAAGGTTGCATTGTTGAATGATATATTAATGAAGAGGCTATTCACTTTTGCGGTCAATACTTAAAGAATTCAAGGAATGTTAATGATGAAGCTACAGAACAGACAACGGGAAAAAAAATTGTCACTATCTCAAGTGACCAATGGGAAAAAGTACACCTTTTTGTGCTTTACAACTCTCTAGAGATTGATGAGTATGTAAAAATTCATAAGGTAGAGCTAAAAAGGCAGCACCATCATCGATTAGAGAGTTAGATCATCAAACTACACAATAAACAGTTCATTCGTTGGTTGAAAGAGCATATCGAAGGGAAGTACAATGCCAATCCTAATTCAGTTTCTTATAGATTAAAATGGCTGGCACAAGGTCCGAGCAAACATGTCTTCTCTTACACTAGTTATACTAGCAATAGGTACAAGTTCTACACAAAGGAGTATGATGACCAAAGTACAATGTAAAAATAGTGGTGTATCCACCATAGGTGATAGCATGCACATTTCCAGTGCAAAAGATAAAAAACCTATTTACGCAAAAATGCATTATTTGGAGTAATTGAGCACATTTGAGAGTTAGATTACATCTCCTTTCGAGTTCCAGTCTTCGGTTGCAAGTGGGTTGAATATAAGAATGGGGCAAATGTTGATAACTCTAGGTTAATTAGGGTAAATCTGAATAAGGAAGGGTTCACAGAGGATCCTTTCATTTTTCCTTCCCAAGCCAAACAAGTTTTTTATGTCCATGATCCAACTGATAAAAAATGGTCTATTGTTTTATGGAGTAACAAGGAAGTTAAAGAAATGGAAGGTACAAAAAATGAGCAAATTTGAAGAAATGATGAGGTTGAAGTTGATCTATTTTATGGGACATCATTTGAAAATGATGATGGTGTAGACAGTATTGAAGATCATGCTTTCTATATAAGACGTGATCATAGTAAGGGAATTTGGATTTTCAAGAGGGGAAAATCAATTCAACAAAAGAAGAAGGTTGTTAAAGTGAAGAAGAAATTAGTCAAAAAAGTAGTTAAAACAAGAAAAAGAAAAAGAACATAAATAGGTAATTATGTTATTGTTGATTTATTAAAGAAAGTACACGTGTTGTTATTATTTTTTTGATTTTTTTTAACTTATTCTTTTTTATTTATTTAATCTTGATTATTATTGCTTTCACAGGTAAATGGCTATTGAGCATGACCATCTTGACATTGGCTCTAGATCCAGTAGTCCAAGTAGGCAGTATGATGACCCGGCTAAGAAAAAGGCTGATCTTGATATGCAGGAAGAACAATTGAGGAGAGGATTGGTTGTGATGGAGGAAGTCACTAAAGCAAGAAATGAAGGAAGAAAATTTACTGTCAAGTGGAACAATAAGAATCAAGTAGTTGACAGTCATAACTGTATCAGTTATATTGGTGTGGCAGCGAAGTCCTTAGTGCCTATTACTTTAAAATCTTGGAAGAATGCAACTCCAGCAATGAAGGATGCAGTGTGGAGAACTTTAACAGTAAGATACTATCACTTTGCTTTTTTTTTTTAACTTAATGTTTTGCAATCATTTGTTTAAATTGACATGTTCATCTTGCAGTCAGGATTTGAGATTGAGGAGAGGCACAAGAAGTTTGTTCTATAGAAAGCTGGGATAGCCTTAAGATCTTTTAGAAGTTTTGTTACCCGTAAATTTTTTACAAACCCTGACATAGAGGGTATCGAAGATACAATTCCTTCCCTCATTTCGACAATTGTGAATGAGGATGAATGGAAAGCTTTTGTCAACTCACGTCGCAATCCAGAGTTCAAGGTAACATTAATATTATTTTATTTATGTATTGTTGCTTTTGTTATCACCTCCTTTTTATATTAATTGACTTACTATGTTTTGTGTTTTTCCGAAGGCATTAAGCGCCAAAAATAAAGAGTTCACGAAAAAGAATGAATATACATATAAGGCTGGATGCAAGGGATATGCGGGAATTGAAAAGGGTTTGATTGAGAAAGAGCAAGCGTCGGAGGGTTCTATATCCCGTGGCAGGATTTGGGCTAAGGCTCGAAAAAATAAAGCAGGCAATATTGACAACCCAAAAACAAAAGCGGTTGTTGAAACAATAGTAAGTATTAATGATATATTGATATAATGTTATTAGTTTTTACTTATAAACTTTGCTTTTTTCTACTTCACAATAGACTTTGACTCAGGAGGCATTAGCAGGCACTCAAACTATTGATGAGGATATATTGGAGAAGGCATTGGGGAATACTAACCATCCTGGTCGTGTTCGGGGCGTTGGCTTTGGAGTTACAAGAAAAGAATACTTTGGTGATGCGTTCAAGCGTGGTAAAAAGGCTGCTTCTTCTGCTGAGGTTCAAGAGTTGAGGCAAAGAGCTAGTGGAACAGAAGTAGCAGATACTAGCACAATCACAACAGATACAAGAACAATCTAGACTCATCGACATGCTATTAAGCCGGCATAAGTTGGGGCTTCCACTGGGCGACAGTAGCCCTAGTGTGAATGATAGTTGCACAGTCCCATCTCAGCTCCTACCTGAGGTATCATTATTCATTTTACTATAATCTTACACATAATACTACTTTTATTGTTCATATTACATTTTTTTTAATTTATGTAGGGTGAGGCTAACGTTGATTTTTTGGCAGAAGATGGCCATGTGGTTGCACTGGGGCGCATGTACAATATTGCTGGGCAAGTAATGCTTCACAATGAACACATCCCTGAAGGGACAGTGAAAGTCTTTTTAAAGACAGTTGAGGATCCTAATTATGATCTACCCTACCCCATTCCGGATGCAAGAACGGTAGTAGATGCATTGCTCAGCTTTGTTGCATGGCCAGTTCATCTTCTTCGTATTTCGGCACCATCTCTAATGGTATATTTGTTAAACTTCTAATAGAAAATTAACTTCTTTTGCATTTTTTTATAGTTGATATCTAACAATCTTATATATTGAAAAAATTAGCCTGTTGATAAGCCGGTGGGAAAGAAAGTACTAGAGGCTATGAAAGCATTCACTACTAAGCAGAAGAGGGAAAAGGATACGAAGAGCTTTGACAAGTCGAAGGAATCCGTCACATTTCCCCAAAAGACACTGGTTCTCCCTCAAGCCCATCTGCCTAAAGCCCCTCAACGCCAAGCCTCTAAAAGTCAAGTCGCACCCAATAAAAATCGACAATTGCTTAAGACCTATGCCGAGATGCAAGAAGGAGTGTTGCTCCCTTTCCCTACGACATGTATGATGATCCACAGTCTTTTGACCAAGTCAACAATGAGGTGTTGGATGATTTATTCAACCATGCAGAGGCTACCACTACTCTATGTAACTTATATATGAGGTATGTTTCTAAAACCTTTCATTAGACATTTAGCTATATACACACACACACACTTTAATCATATATTGTTCCATTTATTTCGACATTTAAGGAACCTCTACACTATCATGCTTGCTGGAAGAGATATAGCACGGAGGATTATATTTGTCAGTCCTCATATGGTCTCTCCTTATAGCCATGACATAATGAGTCCTAAGCAAGGACTGGAAATATCTCAGAAGCTTTCAAAGTACTTCCATCAACGTGGTGCCGACAAGAACACAATATTTATAGCACCTTATTGTGAAGGGTAAGTTACTTTACGATGCTTCACTTTAATTTATTCAAAATTTAATTATTTATATGATACTTTCTAATTGTAATTGTTGTCATAGGGGACACTGAATGTTGCTTGTGATCAATCTAACTTTAGGGAGGGTGTGGTACCTTGACCCTATTCGAAATGGCCATCCGTCTAACAGACCACATATTGTGGAAATGATTAATCAGTAAGTTGATTAATTTGTTTGCATATATGTAATTTGTTCTTTTTGTATGAATATTTCTCATGTCAAGTTTTCTATTTCACGTTAGAGCCATTGTCATCTACCGCACTAATGTTGATCAACAATTTCGACAACTAGTAAAGGGCAGCGGTCAGTTTGATACATCAGCATCATGGACAGTTGTCAAGGTATAAGTATTTATCATTAATTATCTTAGAAACGTCACTATATAGGTCATGTCATATTATTAATTAACTATTCAGTTATTTTATCCATTGTATGATTATAGTGCCCAGAGAAAGCAGACAAGTTAGGGATTGTGGGTATGCTGTCATGAAATTCATGAAGGACATAATCCAACATGCTCCAACCGGAATTCTTCAAAATGATGTAATTGTCTTCCCATTCTATTTTATTAGTTTTTATCAATAAACATGATTTTAATTTGTTGTTGTTGCATATAATACTACGAGGACACATATTGTGACACGTATACTCATGCTCAAATGGAAGAAGTCCTTGAAGAGTTAGCACATGGTATTTTTGAAGCATGGTTTACTTTCAACAGCCAGTAGCAATGACAATTAGGAAACTTAGGCAAATTTTGGAATTTGGAGCTTTATGTTTTAACTACTAATTGCTTTCATTTAAGCAATTCAAGTTGTATATAAGTTTTTTATAGGAATTCATTGTACATTTATATATATAAACGTAACTATTATTGGCTGAAATTTGTGTCTGGGTTCTGAAATATCATTCTGTAATTTACAATGCAGGGGGGTTGCTAGAAATGTAGGCAAAATATAAAAAAATTAGGTCCTAATATTCAACGGTTATAAGATAAAACCGTTGAATATTATCACAAAACTATTCAGTGGTTTCATCTTACAACCGCTGAATAAGTATATATATTCAACGGTTTTTAATTGATAACCTTTGAATAATGTAAAAATATTCAGCGATTTTTATTCCAGAACCGTTGAATATTATCTCTCACAATTTCTCATTTTAAAAATTCAAAAATTTATGCAACGGTTTTGGAATAAAAACCGTTGAATAAATTAAAAATATTTAACGGTTAAAAACCGTTGAATAAATAGTCATAGAATATTCAACGCTAGCTTACTCAACGATTTATAACCATTATATAGTAAGAAAAATAACCGTTTTATATTTCCTTTTTTGTAGTAGTGATTAGACTTAAAACCATTCCTTGAGAGATGATTTAGGGTTGGCCCTATATTACATTAGGGTTATCTTTAGTTTAATTTTGAGGATAAGTGACTAATTCCTATCAAAATTTAACCTATTGAGGTGAGAAATGTGAAAATTGACTGTTGAGGGGTTAAATTTTAGTATATGTGTATATATGTGATTTATTGTCTTTAATCAAGTATAATAGGTCCTTTTGAACTATGTTCAAGGCCTTATGTGGTCTAATGAGATAAATGAATCAATTTGAGCGCTTGGGTGTGTAAAATCTTTGAAAAAGTGAATTGTATGCACTCGGGTGTTCAAAGTTTGATCATACCATTACATTGCATCTAAATCTATCTCATTAGCTAGCTTATGAGATAAACTTCATGTGAATACTTGAATCACTTCGATCGAATGTCGTATGTGAAAATGACATACACCAAAAGTTCATCATTTTTGCTATCAAAGTGACAACAAAAAATTCAGATTTGCATGCTGTAGTGGAAGGTGTCTCACACTGCAGTACATGACACAGAAGGTCTAGCATATGGCCCTGTGCCAGATGCTGCAGCACATGCATTGCACGCTGTAGCACATGACTTAAAATCAAACCTTGTTTCCTTATTATAAATGCATAAATGCATGTAATGAGTGTTATGGTTGCAATTGTTTGCTTTCTATTGTGAGTTACTCTGATGTGGTATGAATTTAATGATTTTGTAAAATAAGTCTTGGGCCTAAGATTTTCAAATAAGGTATTTGATTGTGTTTTGATTAAGTGTGTGTGGTGTTTTGGTTAATCTTCTCTTGTATCTGTAGGATATGAAAGGATGTTATAACTTGCATATGAAATCAAAAAAACACCAACCAAGTGTCTCCATTGCCATTGTCTCCACTCTCCATTGTTGACCATTGAAAAATGATGCTTTTCCAATTATATTGCAAATGCTTTGTAATAATTTGGTATCCCATGTTTTCACATACTTATTTTAGATTTTACTTTGATTCATGATTCATGGAAGTATATTTAATTGGTTTAAAAATTTTGAAAATTTAAGATTCCATTTGTATGGTTTTACAAACTTGGTAATCCTCTTGGGTTATTCTCATAATTACTTTATTTTTAAAGCTCATATGGATTAGTAAGGGTAATCTTACAGCCTACAGTTGAATAAAATAAAGGTAATTAGAATCATTATTGAATTTAAACATTCATAAATTTTTAATTTATTAATACATGTTCATTAGTTCTTTAATTTATAGTGCCTGATACAAATGAAAAATAGCATGGAGTGTGACTTCTGCGTGATAAGGTTCATAAAAGGCATCATTATACATAACGAAAGCATAATTCCTGAGACAGCATGTCAATAGTATTCACTTTATAATTGCTAATGAATTTAATGCATTAAAATTAATTTATGGTGGATAATTTATGAATTGCAATACTCTAAGGATTCTTACATTGAAGAATTTAGGAATACACAAATAAATGAGGTAATTGAGGAGTGGTGCCAATGCATGTTCCAAGTATGGTCCTTGCACAAAGAAGAAAATCAATAGAGTTAGTGGAAGTAGAATTAATGTTTATAGTTTTACTAGTTTACTTTGAAAATTAGTTTACTTTAGAAAAATCTATATATTAATTACTTGATAAATTAGAATAACAGATGATATTTTGGTTCATTTTGCAATTGATTATAATACAATTCTATTAGTGTTCATATATGAAAATGTTGAAATTGTTATTTGGGCATTATTTTGTGTAGTTGTTGTAGGGCGGTTGCTATAAATAACAACCCACCTATTTAAAAAAACGATAGAAGAAATTATCAGTAAAATAATATACCTGTCATTTATAGTGATAATAAATGACTATAAATGATTATTAAATTATTTACTCATCATTTATTTTTTGATAAATTTTGGCAACTACTTTGAACCTGAATTTACCAAATAATAAATGACGAAAAAATAATATACCCGTCATTTATTGTCATTCATGTCATTTATGTTTGGAATAAATGATAGGTATTGTAACTGAACCCATCATTTTCCAACTTATAGAAAAGATGGAAAAAAAATTTTAAATAATTATTTTATAACTTTCATTTATTGAAGAATCTTTAAATGAGAGACAAATAAATGACAATTCATAACTATCGTTAATAAGTAAAAATAACTGTCACTTATGCCTAATTTTATAATAGTATTGGTAACGATCTCACATAATAAATATGTAGTTACTGCTGCGGTGTTAATAGATATATGTTCATCCTTCTCAAAATGTTGATATGTGCAGTCTTGATAATCATAAAATTCTACAAAGCTCAGTGGTAGTAGGAAAGACACGTATTATTCTCCATAATTATTCATAAAAGTGGGCAGTTACACAAGAAAGAACAATGATA